AAAGAAAGAAAAAAAAAAGAAATTATCAAGGATTCGTGAAGGAGGGGTGGGTGGAGAAGGAGGGGGGAAATGAGCTGATACCAAGGGCTCAAGTAGAAAGAAAATGTTTTGAAAATGATGACAGCAACATATGTACAAATGTGCATGATAAAATTGATATATGGATCGATATACAATTTTTTAAAATCACTTTACTGGGGGCTCGTACAACTCTATCACAATCCATACATACATCCATTGTGTCAAGCACATTTGTATATTTGTTGCTATCATCGTTCTCAAAACATTTGCTTTCTACTTGAGCCCTTGGTATCAGCTCATGTTTCCCGTCCCTCTGCACCCTCCCCCCTCTCACGAACCCTTGATAATTTCTAAATTATTATTATAAATTATTATATTATATTATATTCTAAATTATTATATTGTCATGTCTTACACTGTCTGCGATCTCCCTTCACCCACTTTTCTATTGTCCGTCCCCCAGGGAGGGGGCTGGTTCATTTAAGAGTTACAGTCTCGGGAACTCACAGGGCATCTCGCCCCTGTCCTGTAGGGTCACTGTGCGCTGGCACCGACCCATGGCAGTGGCTTTGATCTGGAGTCAATGAATGGACGGAGAGAGTACCTGCTGTCACAGATCAGAGTTAAGCTTTCAAGGTCCATTCTGCTTAAACAGGCCCCACCCCCAGGAGCTCCACCTCCTGCCCCATCCTTTAGCTGGCGTCAGCAGCCTAGACCCCAGAGCAGGAAGACAGGCAACCTCCTCCTCTGGCATCTGGGAAGGAAGACCCAGAGAACAAATGTGACTGCCAGGCCCCAGCTAGGGTGGTCAGCGTCTGCTGCTGGGTCTGCACAGTTATGCAAATGATATGCAAAAGCAGCTATGGAAATGACAAGCCCACTGGGGAATAGAAGCTATGTGCAGGCATTTCTCTGGGATAATGGCAGCTGAAGCGCAGTTGTAGATAAGAGGTGGACCTCAGGGAAGGGGCTGCCTTGAAGTGGAGAAGGGAGGGGGAGGAGGAGATGAAGAAAGAGACTGTGGCTGGGAGTGGCTGGGCTCAGGAAAGAGCCTTTACTGATCTCTGTCCCACACCCAGCAGAAACCGGAGGACGCTCCCCACCCCAATCTCACCTTTTGGCGGGAATGGGAGAAGAGGTCCAGATGTGACTAGGGAAGGGTGGTTTTTATGGATCTGAAAAGCACTTATTTAAGCACTTCCCTGGTGGCATAGGGGATTAAGCATCAGGCTGCTAACTGAAAGGTCAGCAGTTCAAACCCACTAGCTGCCCCGCAGAAGAAAGATGAGGCTGGCTGCTCCCGTGAAGATTTGCAGCCTCATAAACCCTGTGGAGAGGTTCTTTTCTGTCCTATAGACTCGCTGTGAGTCAGAATCAACTCTACAGCTGTGGGTTTGGCTTGAGGCATAAGTTAACAGCATAAGTTAACACACTGGGTTGCTAACTGAAAGGTTCAAAGTTCAAGTCCACTCAGAGGCACCTTAAAGAATGTCCTGGTGAACTACTTCAGCAAAAGCAGCTCCTGAAAGGCCGGTGGCGCCGCGTTCTTTGGTAAACAGGGGGTCCCCAGGAGGTGGACTGACACAAGGCACCAGTGCTCTGGTTCTGCCCCCAGGGGCAGGGGGCACCCACTGAGCCTGTGCTGAGCCCCTGTTGTGTATCCAGTGCTGTGGTTGATGCAGGAGGCACTGAACGAAACACTCCTCTCCCTGCAGCCCCCCACTCACCACGTAAAAGGCAGGACAGGGAAGGCGCACCTGAACACAGGTAAAGTGTGACGGTAACTGAGTGAAAGAGAAATGAAGCCACGTCCTGCCTCAGAAAGGTGGCATTTGAGTCATGCAAAGAGGACGAGAGGGACAGTGTATAAGCACATGACCCTTCCTGATGCTCATTAGGTCACACCAAGCAGCTGGTGTTCGCGGAGCCTAATACTGCGATGTACGGGCTGTTCTGAGAACCAAGATCCCCACAGTGGCTAAGTGCTCCGCTGCTAACTGAATGGTCCACGGTTCAATCCCACCAGCTGCTCTGCGGGTGGGGACAACTATGGCCGTCAGCTTCCTTCTGTAAAACTCCAGCCTTGGGGGTAGCCGTGCTCCGTCCTACCGGGTCTTGGTGAGTTGGAATAAACAGGGCCGCTCGCTCCAGGGATGTGACGACTGAAGGAGATGGTGCCTTTGAATGTGATGGTTGGCTAGCTAGTACAGTGCCTGCCCCATGGGGAAAGCTTGCTAAAAGCTGAGGGTCACAAGGAGGTGATGGATTGTGAACGATGAGGTGGACACGCCAAGTGGAAAGTGCGCAGCAAACAAAGCATGGAAGCAGAAGATGCCAGGCCAGTTTCTGTGGGCAGAAAATCGCCTTTGAGACTAAGATGCAGGTAGACTGACAGGGAGCCCATCTGGAGAGGAAGAGCCTGCCCTGTGCCTGAGCCAGGCCCTGCCTGCGCGCGGCTCTCTGAGCAAGACAGCCAGACAAGGGGGCCCATCATCAGTCTGGCACGCATGCTGCAGGAGCTCAGAAACCTGGTTCCAGCCAGGCTCAGCCACCTGGACACATCACTTCGCAGCTCTCCAAAACTCCTGACTTCCTTTGTCAGTAACTTTTACACCCCTCACAGAACTTACAAAATCTGGGGCTTGGACGAGGCAGGCTAAGGGCAGTGCCTTCACCTGGACACTTGTGGTAATCAGCTGGGCCCCATCTAGATCCCGGAATGTCAGGAGGGTCTGCCTAGGTGAGCCCCGTCACCTGCTGAGCCCCAGGTAGATGCCAGGTGTGGCTGAGATTGGCTTTCATTTACAGAGGAGTAGAGAGGTGGTCAGGGAGGTGAGGCGCACTAGCCCAGATCACAAGGCTGGGAAGCAGCCCGACACACAGAATTCCAACCCCAGACTCTTGCCAGCCCGCTCTCCCGCCTGCTGCAAGCACTCCAGGTTCCCCTTTAGCGCTTCCAGCATCGCAGCAGGAATCTGTGCCTCTGTTCCCTTGACAGGCTGCATGGCCCTGGGGTGGGAGACGATTGCAAAAGGGTCCAGGACTCCCAGAACAGGATAGCTGTGGGTGCGGGTGTGGTGGGGAGGGGCCGCCAGGCCAGGTTGGGGCAGACAGGTGTTCTGCATGATCGGGACCCGCCCCGGCAGCACCCCACGCCCCGCTCCCCGGCCCCCAGCTCCCCGTATGCAAATTCCAGCTTTGCATGGGCCCGGGGCCAGGCGCGTGGGCCGTGCCAGGGGGCGTGGCCGGCGGCCCCCGCCCCGCGTCGCGCCGCGTGCTCACCTGGGGAGTGTGGCAATCCTGGCCGCGCCGTGTGCCGCCCGGGCCGGAGCAGCGGAGCGCGCGACGGCGGTGGCTACGGCTCCGGCAGCGGCTCCCGAGGCGGCGGCGGCCTGGGACGGGAGCAAGGAGACCCTGGCGTCCCAGGGGGCCCGGCTGGGGCAGACGCGTGGGGCCTGGGGGGGCGCTGGCTTTGGCCCCGCCTGGGGCAGGATGGTGAATCTGGAACCCATGCACACAGGTGAGGGGCGGAAGGAGGGAGCTCTGACAGGTGTCCCCACGCGCGGGCAGGGCGAGGGAGGGCGAGGGGCACCGACCTGGAAGGTGCACTTGTTTCCCAGAGGCTAGGCCTTGGCGAGGTGGGTGGAAGTCTGGGGATCTGAAGGGAGAGGTCGGGGTTCAGAAAGCTCCAGGAAAGGGTGCGAGTGGGGGGCAGGCAGCGGGGAGGGCTTCTGCAGTGTGGCACTTGGGAGGACGGTGGTGCGCGGCACCGTCGAAGTGTCTGTGCTGTTCTGCTTTCGGGACGTGGCTGGCGCACCGGCCCAGCCAGGGGTGTGGACCTGGGAGTGCACAAGCAAGGCAAGTGCGTGTATGCACATGTGACTCGAGTTTCCCCAGCAAGCGTCTGCAGAGAGGCTGAGTGGGCATTTGGAAAGTGGGGGCTGTGGGCTGTGTAAATGTCCCCACACCCGGATGCGGGACCGCTTGTCTAACTTCCCACCGAGCTGGCCAGAGAATCTTTAGCAGCTCAAGGCTGCATGCTGTGACCAAACCCACTGCCGATGGCATTGATCGCATCACAGGGACACTCTGGGACAGAGGAAAACTGCCCCCAAAGGTCCCCAAGGCTTTATGTTTTTGCAAAAGCCAAGGGCCACACCTTTCTTCCAGGGACTGATTGATGGGTGCAAACCTCTAGAGCCTTCGGTTAGCAGTTGAGTGAGAGCTTTTAACCAATTCCCTGACTACCAAGGTTCCTTGATTGCTAGGAAGTGGATGTTTTGTTGTTGTTTTGTTTTTGTGCTTTTACCAATTTCTATGCCAACTAATCTGTCCCTGACACGCACTCTGTTGCCTTCAGTAATTTGTTGAAGTGGCCACACAGAATTCACAGCCCATGTTCACAGCCATGGGCTTTGTGGATCAGGATCAGGGACAGATCAGGACTCAGTTCTTGCATCAGGACAGCCTCTTCTCTGCTTCTCTCCAGTCCTCAGCATCTCGGCCCCTCGACCCAGTCTCTGACCTGCTGGGACGAGGGTTAAAAAGCGCTTTAGCTTCGCCAATAAGTGCCTGGTGTTTCCCCACTGCTCCAGCAAACTGCAGCCGCAAGGCACTCCGCTCACTTGCTCGGTGGGTTTGCCAGCCTAACTCCTCCGACAATGCCCGGAGGCACCCCACTCTTCCAGAAAGCATCCTGCCTGATGGCGCTCAACATTCTTGCTCTGGGGGTTGAGGTAGCCACTGGAATCGCCTTACTTCATGAGCCGGGAACCCACTGTCTCTTTCTGCTGCTACCGCTTCCCACCACTTTGCACCATGTCCCATGTCCCATGTCCCAGCTCGATTTCTGTCTTTTGGGGCTAGGAGACTCTCAGCTCAGGGACCCTGGGTGGCTATGCACTCCATTACCATCTCTTCTTTTTGGTGGCAGGCAGGTCCCCCTTGTCTGCTTCTGGAATCATTCATTTTAAGTCTGGCAGGGTGACAGAATTGACCAATTTTCTAGTTAGGGTTTAATACACCTTATTTATATGGCCCCCCCTCTCCACAGGGATTCCACGTACCTTATTTGTATGATCTCAACTCCACAAGGGCACCATCCACCTTATTTACATTTTTAGTAGGTTGTCCAATCCCCTTGGTAGGCCACAAGCACATTATTTGCATGCCTCCACCCAATCATTTGGTAGGAGTTACAAAAGCCTGGCTAGAAAGGCCATATAAAAGTGATCTATCACACCTTAGGCTGCTCTCTTCCAATCATTTTACCAGTCTAAAAGAAGTATTAATAGTCCTTTGGCAGAGCAAAGAGTCCTCAGGAAAAGGGTACCTTAGATACTCTTGCTTGGGTACCAACCTTTCAGATCTGCTGCAGTTGTCCATCTGACATAGACACGTTTTCCCAAAGTCATCTCACCTTCCCCCTCTCTGGGCCTCTCATGAAATTTTACTGGGAAATCATTCCCTTGCTCTGACTATTACAAGGTATCAGCATAGCAAAAGCTGAAAGGAACTTTGACCACTGTACTTCAATCCTGTCGTGCCTCCCCATATGCCACTCTCACTGTCATTGCTTCTACAATTACAGTCTTTACAGCCACAAGCCTGTTAACCATCAACACAACATAGATCCTTTTGTCAACATCAGGTAAAGAGAGAAATACTTAGTGGGGATCTTCCTCTGTCTCGTTTTGAGTATAAGCACACACATGAGCTAAATAACTTCATGCCTTTATCTCCTCCATTTTAGATAGCCAGTGTTCAAATTGCTTGTTCTATCAAACTAATATCCTCCTTGATCTGAAGAATCTTCTGTTCTGGTTGGAACTTTGAGCATCAACGGTCATAAGCAAAGTCCAGTCAAGAGCAAGTCATCAAATTGCAGCAATTTACACTAGCTCATGTCAAACATCTTTCATCATTCGGTCAGGTTCTGGTCAGCTCTTCCAGATCTTCTATGAACTAGGCCAGTGGGTACCAGCCATAGGCTTGGGAGTTCACGCAGCTCCTTGCACTTCAGACCAGCCATCTCTTTGTCTCATCCCTAATCGCCATGGACAAACCCAGTGGGGCATGTCCAACCTCAGCTCATCTCTTCATTTCTGTATGTTTACCACTTTTACTCATTGAAGGTACCCAGGTCGTCACCGTAAGTGAGCATACCAGACTGTCTACTCAATGGTTTCTTTTCATTTCCAGCCCTATAAGGGCCTTCTTCTGGTGGGTACTGGCTTTGCCTGCCTCAACTAACCAAAAGCCAACCCCCTTGCTCAGAATTCAAAGACAAAATAGTAATTTTCCTCCCTTGAAGGTTCTTCTTTCAGATGTAAATTTCCTGCCCTCTCAGCAGTTCTGGGTGAAAACTGAGGGCGCAGAGAGGCCCACCTGTGGGCGCAGCTCAAAAGAGATTGTCCTGATTGAAGAGCTGTATCCTTCAGTAGGAGACAGAGGCAAGATGGAAAAGTCTTTTAAGATGCAAAGTTCCTAACCCTGAATGTGCTAGGTGGGTTCATATTTTTCACCTAAGCTCCCAATATGGACAAACCATAGTTCTTCTTTTAACATATCCAATCACATAATTGGCTGAAAATGGAGCTATATGCTCTCTGTTATATATAATCCCCAATGTTCATTTCAGTCATACATTTAGACCTGTTTTACAGCATGAGATAGGAGAAATATTTGATATCCATAGACCAAAAGCCAAACACATTGCCATTGAGTTCATTCTAATTCATGGTGAGCCTATATAGAATTTCCAAGACTATAAATCTTTATGGGAGCAGAAAGCCTCACTTTTCTTCTGTGCATGTTGGTGGGTTCAAACTGCTGACCTAGAGGTTAGCAGCCCAACACATAACCCACTATGCCACCAGGTCTTCTATTATCCATAGTATCTTCAAATAAACACATAAGCATTTAAAACATTTCTGCTTCATTCTCCACCCCTTGAATACCTTCCCAATCATATACATATATAGCCTTGGGCCTCTGATTGGTTGGAACCAGAGCCCCCTGGCCCCCTAGCAATCATCTTTTCCAGCCTGGCTTTTGCTGCAAGTCACTCCACATGCAGCTTTTCTTCCCCCCATGCAGCATAACATAATTTACTGTCCTTTTGACCTTTACAGCTAAAGTGACCACCTAAGAATCAAAAGTTTTACCTTCTCACAACCCTTTTTTCTTTCTCTTACAAAGTCCTGTTGTCCACAAGTCTGGAACTATTGCAATGAATTCCACTTCTGATCCCAACTATAAAAATGGTGTGTGTGGCATCAGCCCTCTCTCCGTCTAACTTCACAAGGAGAGGCAATGCCATTTTGGCATCAACATCCCAAGTTGGCTGCTATGATATTGGAGGTCAAACCAACCCCTGGACCAGCTGTGCCTCCCAGGGCGCACTCTCCTCCTCGGAGGGGGTTGAGCCACACAGCTCACAAGCCAGACTCGCAGTTGTGGGGCTTATAAGGGAAGTAACAGGTTACAGTTCAGAATCAGGAATGACTCAGGATACAGTTCTTCAATCAGGACAACCTCTTCTCAGTTGTGACCACAAGTAGGCCTCCCTCAGCCTGTCTCCGTCTAAGCCTTTCTGCCCAGTCTCTGCCTTTCTGGGACAAGTGTCACAAAGCTCTTTAGTTCCACCAATGAGTGCTCTGGATCACCCAATTCTGCCAACAAACTTCAGCCTAAAGGCACTAAGCTCTTTCAATCCATGGATCAGCAGGTCTAGCTTCTCCAACTGTGCCCAAAGGCATCCCACTTTTCCAGGAAGCTACCTGCCACAAGGTGTTCAACTATCTGGCTGTGTGGGTTGGCACAACTGCCTGAACCGCCTGACTCTGTGGGATGGAAGTCCACTGTTGGTTCTGCTACCACTGTTTTCACCGTCTTGCACCATCTCCAGTGTTATAGCCTGTGTACTCTTTTTCTCTCTACCGCCTGCATGGTGGGTCTAGGAGATTCTCAGCTCAGGAACCCTGGGTCTAAAGGATGCACTCTTTAGCCGTACTGAGACATCCACCTCCCCCTTTTCTTCCTTTGAGGTGGCTCATTTTATGCCTGGCAGGGTGTTAAAACTAACCAATCCCCTCGTAAGGGTCCCATACACCTTATTTGCAAGATCCCACCATCAGAAGGGCACCATGCACTTTATTTGCATTACTAGCAAGCTGCCCCATTCTCTTCATAGTCTCCAAGCACCTCATTTGCATGGTCCCACCCAATCATTTGGTGCGAGCCTGGCTGGATCAATGTGATTCATCACTCCACAGAGGTTTAGGAAGTGGGTGGGATAATTCCAAAGGCACACCTAGGGCAGGGGCCATGCCACACCTGTATTGATTAAGGTTTGCAGAAGCGTGTGTCTGTGACCGATGTGTGTCTGTTTGTTTCCATGTATTTGGAGAGGTGGCAATGAAGACCCCAGAGGTGACATGTTGTAGGTACTGAAGACAGCAGCATACGTGTGAGGTGTGTTTGCATGTGTGTGTGTGGGTGGGGGTCCACTCACATGCT